AAGGGAATGAAATTAAAGAACAAACAAATTAAATTCAATACAATTAAAAGATTGATGACCAATTTTTAATTTTGACAGGCTGACATGCTTGCCATGTAAAGGGTGGCACAATACTTCGAACACTGTTGTGAAAGGCAATCAATAGCTATCAAGAAGCGGCGGGTGACATGGGCACTTCTCACCTACTGATATGTGTTATGCATACCCCAATTATTATTTTTATTTATTTATCAATAGATGAAAACACTCTTAATCCCATGCAATAATTGTAAAAAAAAAAAATCAAGGTTAAAAAACCAAAAATACCCCTTGATCTAAGATAAAAAAAAATGACCATAAAGGCCATATGGTAATTACACCATACAAAAAATATGAAAATCACAAAAAGCCCTTAGTTATAAGATGTGCTATTTTTTTTCAAGAGTACGAGAGTAATTACAATATGGAGTGTGGAAATATTATTTTAGCCCTGAGTTTTTGTTCAATTGTTTGGTTCTTTGAGAATAAAATTGTTATTTTATTATGAATTTCATTATTCACAGTCTATAGTAAAAACTAGAGGGTTTTAACTTTAAATGTAATGACTTGCTAGTAAGATTGGACTACCTTGAGTTTAGATTATTTAAAATTTGTGTTGTGTTAGCAATCAATACAATAACCTAACCTTATCCGTGTTGATTAGTTTGAGAATTTTTAATTACATCATTTAAATAAACTAAAAGACATTAAAATTTAATTGCATATACTCAATTTACTGTGGATTCGTATTGTAAATTTATCATTTCACTCCCACACAAAAGCATTTAGTTCAGTTAGAGGGTAATTTAATATTTTTCTTGGGATATAAATGTCATTATCAAAATTATAAAGGATATAATGGTTAGCTCATATTTTTATTGCATGGTAAAATTATTAAATTACTCTTCTAAGTTATTTTCATTTAATTAGTATTAAAGGGTGTTTTTATTTTTTACTTTATTTAAAAATTAGAATGATTAAACCGCCCTTGAAATCAAATTTCTTAAGCATTACATTCAAGAGCGTTTTTGTCATTTCTCATGGTTTTTTTTTTTGTTATTATTAAGTTGGGTTAGAGATAATCCAATCTTTTTCTATTTTAAAAAATTATTCAAAAAAGTAGTTTATGTGTGCCACGCACGCGTTAATGAGTAGGGTGGCTTCTTGCTCCTCTAGCGACACGTGAGCTGCATGCTAATGAAGGAACACTAGCTCCCGTGAAAGCGTTGGAAATGCCACGATGCCCTTTTCAACGTGGGGTGATGATGTGATGGCTATGGTGACTATTTATCATTGACCAACCTTTTCTTTTCTTTTCTTCTTCTCTTTTTCCTCCCTTTTGAATTTTACAATGGCTATTAGAAAAATCAATTTTATCCTTTTATTTTATTATATTTTAAGTTTAGCCTTCAAATTTTTGGTTTCTAATTTTAATTCTTAATCCTTTTATCAAATTTTAATTTGTTTTTAATTTTATCATTGGATTAATGATCTTATTTTTATTTTTTTCAAGTTTGGTCCTCACTTTTTTGATATCTTTTTTATTCTTTTGTGAATTTGATTTGTCTTTTTTATTTTTTTATTCGATTCAAAAATTGATGATATTTCATGTTTGACCCTCATGTTTTGATTTCTAATTTTTATTTCTAGCTCTTTTATCAATTCTTAATTTTTTTTTTATTTTATTCTTAAATCCATAATCTTGATTGCTTATTTTTTCAAATTTGATATTCATTCTCTTAATTTTTATTTTTTGTTTTTGATTCTTTAGTTAATTTGATTTTTTTTTAATTTTTTCCCTTCAATTCAAAATTTTATGTTTTCCTCTTCTTCTTTTTTCCCTTCAAATTAGTTCTTTATTTTCTTAATTTTTTTCCTTTTGTATAAATGATTTTTTCATTTCATTATTCAACATTTGATTTATTGTAAATTGATTTTCATGGGTTTTTCCATAGTTTTTAGTCTCGATCCAGAAATCGATCTAGGTCATATGTCAGGTCACGGGTAAGGTGGGTTGACTCGAGTTAATCCAAATCAACCAAATCTTTTTATTTTATAAAAAAGGAAAAATGATATCATTTTAAAAAGAAAATAAAGAAAAATAATCTAACAGTTTTGATTGGGTTTTTCTCGAGTTAACCGAGTCATAAATCAACTCTATCATTTCACACTAGATCAATTCTCTTCAAATTTCTTTTGAAATTTAACTTGTCCTCAATCCTGAGTCACATGGGTTATGACTCAACCCATTATGTCAAGTCAAGTTTTAAAATAATGGTTTTTTAGATGTGATGATTCCAGTTTAGTTACTAGCTAGGGTAATGGATTTAAAAAGTTAACACATGTTAACATTATTTTTCTTTCTTGATTAAATCCTTTGAAGTTGTTCACTTTGAAAAATCAACTTCGCTATTTTTTTTGGTTTCTTTTCAATCATGTTATCCACATCTCATGATCTAAACAACAGGTTTAGTTGAGTGGCTCACGTATTTTTTTAGGTTGTTTTTTTTATATCTTTTTTGGTTTTTTCCTTCAAAATTCATTTCTTTTTAAAATTAAGCTCTGATTGAATCTGAGTTAGCATGACAAACTTATAACCCGGATTATAAAGCCAAGACATCCTCATGTAAAGCATATAGAACAATGATAAAGAAACTCAATAATTAATAAACTATAAGCAGAAGGCTGAAATTAAGAAAGAAAACAGGTGTACAAATTTTTTTATAAAAAAATTGATGTCAACCCAAGCTAATATCTCACACTCATGATCTGGGTCTTGAGATGTTGATGACCGCATCAAAAAAAGTAACAAGACCTAATCCTTAACAAATCTAACACTTAAGGCTGAAAATCCATTTAAAAAAATAATAATTAAAAGAATAGAAAACAAAATTGACATAAATAATAATAATAAAATGATATAAAAGCCCCGAATCAATCTAAACTAGCATGGCAAACGCGTGACTCAGACCACGAGGTCGGGCTATCTTCATAGAAAAAAATGAAAAAAATAAAGATGTTTAATGTTTAATAAACTTAATATTGAATGATGAAATCAAAAAATAAATTCGGTAGAAAAAACATAAAGAAAGACCAATATCAATTTGGGTTTAAATTTCATGCTTATGACTCGGTTAACGATACTAGGATCACCGCAACAAAAAAAAAATTAACAAAATTTAATTATAAATAAATCAAATATTAAAGGATAAAAATTAAAAAAATCAATTAAAAAAAGAACCAAGGCAAAAAATAATAATTAAAAGAACATGTGCCAAAATTGACATAAAACTTAAATCAAATCAAATGATAAGGGATGAATTGAAAAACATATTATTTTTAAAAAGTAATAATTAAAAGAATGAAGATCAAATTTGATATAAATATTAAATAAGATAAAATGCTAAGAGATTAAATTGAGAAAAAAATTTAATAAAAAATTAATTTAAAGCAAATAAAAAGCAATTCAAAATATAAGGGTTACAATTGAAATAAAAAGAAAATGGAGGAAAACTTTTAGTTTTGGTTGGGTTAGCGTGTTTTCCAAAGGAAATAGAGAGAAAAGAAGGGGAAGAAAAAAATCCAACTATTAGCTAATCACTGTAAGATGTCTTATATGCGTACCCTTCGTGGATGTAACTCCATATACACCTTTGAAAGAGATAGTGATTATTGTTTTTTGAGCATTAAAATGTGTCGTACACACCATCTAAAGAATGCGAGTGCCTTCCATGCTCTGGCTTTTGTTATGCATATGTTAATAATTTTTTATTCAATTTATGCAAACATCTAAGTTTCTTCAACTCCACATGATATTAATAAAAAAATCATAATAAAAACACCTTCATGGATGTGGCTTCACATGCACCATTAGAAAAGATTATGGTTATCATTTTCTAGGCATTAAGAAGTGTCGTACACACTTTCTAAAGAATGTGAGTGCCTTTCACACTCTGGCTTTTGGTTTGCATACGCTAATAATTTTTTTAATTCAATTTATCAAAACATGTAAGTTTCTTTTATAGATTTTTTATTTGTAATGATACCTTAGTTATACTAGAGTTTTTAAACTTGACCCAGTGGCCGGCCCAGTCTAAGGCCTAAGTTTCGGGTTTGGACCAGGTCATCAAGTTATTCGAGTCAATTCTGATTTTTTTAAAAATCAAAATGACATCGTTTTAGTAAAAAAAAAAAAAAATCAACGGGTTGCAACCAAGTTTTTGTTCGAATATTGTCAGGTTACCCCGAGTTTTGACTTTTCATATTTTTTCTCAAACTCGGTTCGGTTTCAGCCTCGAGTTGATTCGTTGGGCCGGATTAGATTTTAAAACTATAAGTTATATTATGGTATGAAAGATAAAAAAACTCAAAATAACCTAATAGTTAATTTTTTTTAACTTTCTGAGGTATTTTAGATGTTATAAGGTACAAATAAAAGGATAAAAAACCATTCTACCCTAGTAATGATAAACAAGTACATGGTTTCAATTGTGGAAGAGAAAAATGTTAACTTTACTGTGCGGGTTCACAGTAAATGCGTGCAGAATTTATCAAAAGGACAAAAGCTTAAACCAAGCTGCACTAAATTTGAGTTTTTCCTTGATATCGCGAAGTTCTTTTTTTTCCTTTCCTATTTATCAAAAAGAAAACCTTAAACCAGAAATTTTTGCTGGATGCCTTTCACATGGTTCGCTCGCACAGATTGGTATTTTTTTTCCTTTTTTAAACACAGTTCATTACTTGCTTTCATTTGCCGAAATCCCCCAAGTTAAAAATTTCGGAGTTTTCTTGGTAAAGTGTGTTCTCCATGGACCAAGCTGCAATGTAGTTAAATTGTCTAAAACTAATTCACCATGAGAGAGATAAATGGGGCTCCGGATAACGCAGATAAATGATGAAAAACAACCACCTTGTCTACCGTACCGAAGGAATTAACAGAAAAATATTGAAAATGGCGAAACTTCTTTAGGAACCCGACATCATATCATCACCTAAACCCAATTCATATTTAACCATAGATGTTACTGTTATAGGATTGTTCCCGTGCAGAAACAAGCAGTACAAAAGGGCATGTAGGGCATCTGCTGCTAAAAGTCTAGATAACTCTATGCAAGTTTCTAGGTGCAAGTCAATAAACACTAACAATATGGAGACATAAGCTTAAAGCCATTACCTCGACTCCCATGGCAACCTAAAAAGAAAAAAGACAATGTCTGCTACAAAGAAAACCCTTTTAGAGGGGCAAACTTTTCCAGAATTTCAGCTTCACGCTTTTCAGCATTTGTCCTTTTTAGCTCCCATTCTGGGATTTTGGAGTTGGCAACCTGAATATCACGCACAACAGTTGGAATTGAATTTGCCACCATCCCTTGAGCAGAGGCCACCTCAACCTTTGCTGCCTTGTTATTCTCAATTGTACTAACAAGCTCCCCTCGCCAGGTCTGAAGTTGAAAAATTTGATTGTCAATTTCCTGCACGGTCAGTAAGTTGGAATCAACCTGTGACTGGAGCTGGTCTGCTCTTTCCTTCAATTCATTATATTCATTCCTCAAAGAGTTAACCTTCGCCTTGTTTGCCTCAAGGATACCAAACAAATTGTTAACTTGCTCTATTGTTTGCCTACTCTCAACAAAAACCTCGCTGTACGATGGGATTTCCTCAATCAATTTTAACTTAACAAGTTGTTCAGCACTGAGGGTGGGATCCTTCAGTAGTTTGGAAGCTAGACTAGTAAGTTTGGAAATGTTTCTGGAAGAGACCAAAGTGGGAAAATCCATGGCTAGAAGGGAACAAAGCTTGCTTCGATCTTTAGCCATATCACTTTCGGTAAGAGTATCAGAGCTTGCAGAGTATGATACTTGGGTTTCAGGGTGAGGTTGGGTAAGAATGTCTTCTAACGAACTGAGATAGTTATCAAAACCCTCCGGGATCACATTAACTGCAGGTTCAGTCTCAGTTATTCCAATTTCACCACCAGCAGCATGAAACACAGATCGTTTAGAAGAACGTGTAGCTTTTCGCTTAGATGCGGATGCCGATGTAGGTGTATCCTGTTTTGCATCCTGTTTTCTTTTCCTCTGGCTGGACCGTGGTGTTTTTTGTTTCTTTTCTTCAGCTTCTTCAGTTAACTTGGGTAAAATCTGCTTCCTTTGCCTCCGACCATAACGGGGATTTTCTACATTCCCTTCTTGAACTTTCAAAGTTCCATCCTCAGGAGGATTCTCAAGAGGAAGAGGAGCAGGTTTTACTGAAACAAAGATGAGAATCAAGCCACTTGGTCAAAGCACCACTGTAGCTGAGCAAAACATTATCCAAAGTAGCATGAAATGGCTAGCCCAATGGCATCAACAATCCTAAACAAATTTTATAAATAATTCAAGCGCTTCTTATGCTGCAATGGAAGAAAAGAACCAACAAATATGCTTAAGGAATTTGTTTGTCCCTACACTAACAAATAGCAAAGATGAAGCTCAAAAAAAATGCAGCACGAGAAGAGGCTTGAAAATCTGAAAGCCATGATCTAAGAAGAATGTATGAGAATATGGAGTTTTTAGTTGGGAACTGCAATGGGAGCTTCCTTATTTGAAATTCAGTAAAATTTAAACGCTTTGCTGTGTTGAGTCTTCTTCTTCCTCTTTTCATTTGGGAGAATGCCTTACGCTAAATTTTCAGTTTTTTCATTCTTTTCTATACAAGAAAAATACAAAAGAATAGATAGCATCGGTGTCAAAATTGAGCTCACCTTCTTTTGGAGACTGCACTTTTGCTGGTATCTTCCATGTAAACGATGCAAAGAATGCATCAACATCTGCACTTGGGAATTCGGTTCGAATAAAACTTTCAAGAGCAGGCTTGCTAGCAAACATCTTCTTCCTTTTTCCATGAATGCTTTTTGGAAGGTAAATGAATCTATCCTGGAAGCACCCAGAGGAGTTAACCCTCCTTCCAACTCTCCATTCCCAATTATCACCAGGATTCGGCCAATCTATTGGAGCATATGGCAAACCTTCACCAGTTTCACCTGGCATAACTAGCCTGAGAGAATTGTTCACATCTATCGGGGTCCTGCTACCATCACTCTTGTTGGGGGTATCACTATCCATAAATTGCTCATTCTGCTGACCAGATAAATTGTGCTCATCTATCAGGTGCCCACCCCTATTTCTTTCATGATGGACATCATCGTCCACAAATTCCTCCTTCTGGTGATTGAAATTTTTTTTCTCATCTAGAAGGTGCACGTTACCGTTACTCTCATGGGGGATATCGTTCTCCATGAATTGTTGTTCATTCTGCTGACAGCTTGTTGAGCCATAACTATCATCACAATGACATGTATCCAAACATAACATAAGAATCAACTAATGCAAGGAAATGGCTGATTCATCTCTAGGTTAAACAAAGAGAAGACGTTAATGTCATTCATACAGTACAGTTTTAAAGAATATCATTTGAGCAATCATATCGTTGCATATCATCTACTATTGCAGAACTTAGAAATTCTGTAGCCCGCACACTTCTTCAAGTCTAAATTTATTCACATTTAGGCTGAACACTTTTAAGGCTCTTTGGTTTTACTATTTTCAAGGGTCATTTGGAAAACATGCAACATTTACACACCAGTGGTTCAAGAGTCACAATTTCACTAATTAAGTAAAAAGGAGAAAAACTCTTCACTGGAGGTAGAATCTTGCTTTGCGTGTAGCGAATTGATTGTGCTTGATTTGAGTCATCAGAAGGTTAATTCTAGCTCCCCATTTTCGATGCAGACAACATGTAAAGAATAAGAAACGGGATCCCCTGGGTTCTAATAAACAAAAGCAAAGAGAAAAAAAAAAGGAATTGCAAACAAAAAATTAAAGATAAAAAACATACTCTGGACCGAAAATCAAACCAAATGCAGTCCGTGGACCATGATCGTGAGGTTTATTCGAAGGAGAGTACAGCGGATCTGACATGATTTAATTTATACACCCAATAGCCCTTTCTTTCTTTCTTTCACCTGCATGGAGAGAAAAGATAACTGAAATCAAATCAAAATCATCAAGTAAAACAAAGATATCATATGAATCTAAAGAACACGTAGTCGAACAGAACTGTCTGAATTGTGATCCCTGTGAGCTAAGATGCTAGAAAAATTAGCAAAACGCCTAGGTCATGCTCTTGCTTGCAGAAGATCGGACCTGGGAGGTTCTTTTTAGGAATTGTCGGTAAGTGGAGGGGGAGGAATTATATTCCTAACCTTCTGGATAGCGAAAATTTTGTGCTTTTATGAGCATCATCTTGTAAATAAGTGAAATAACAAGGTCCAATTCCTAGTAATAATTTCACTTGTTGATTAGTGCGTGCTATTAACAA